TCAGCTGGGACCTCCTTCCCTCTGTCCAAGTGAAGCAGAGTTTGCTATTCCAGTTGTCTCCAGGAAGAAAAGCAAACCTAAAGGCCCTTCTCACAGATTACGAAGGGACACAAAGTGGCTGGTCAACTGGGGAGGAAGGGGATGAGGGCTGCACTCAGCTGTGCTCCTGTCATCTTGTCAGCTATATCAGCTGTTGCAAACCTTGAGCTAAAAGTCCAGAGTTAAACTCTCCTCCCCTTGTTTTACTTTCACAGTGAATCTCTGCTTAATACAGAGCAATCTCAGCTTGAACGCTTGACATATCCAGAGCACACTCAACAGCAGCACCCACCATCCCAATGAAGGGGGAATTGGGCAGAGACCCAAGCCAAGCCGTATGTCCAACACATCACATCAGCTTGGAATTCAGAAACGTTTAAGTTTCCTGAGTGCCAACACTTGATATTTTTTAACTACAGGATTATGCTGTCAGTGTTTCTTGCATTTAACATATGCCCATGTTATGATGAGCATCGGCAAAACCAGAGTGTTGCAAGCCTCCTACATAACAAAAACCAACCAAAACCAAAAACCACAACACAAAACTTAGACTCCTCAATGGAAAAACAGCAGCACTGGAGAATCCAAAGCAGAGTAACACTACAACGGACTGTCAATAACTATTTACAATGGAAATTTCTGGCTTTGCTTAACCCCAGTGTCAGACTACCCCTCCAAAGTAGCAGCTTTTAAGTGGGATCTGATTCATGTTTCAGATAGAAATGGTAGTATTTGGCTTATCAATTTAATCTGCATAAATTATTCCAATTATTCTGCATACATGGAGAAGTGAACCGATAGGGCTGTCTTCAGAGTTTCCTTGTTCAGAGACATACAGAGGTAAATTTTTAAAGAAGTTGTGAGTTGTCATCACTGGAGGCATTTAAGATGTGTTGACATGGTGCTTAGGGACATGGTCTAGTGGTGGACTTCACAATGCTAGGACTTGGTGTCCCTGGCCATGCAGGGGGGTTGGAACTAGATAATCTTTAAGGTCCCTTCTGACCCAAAGCTTTCTATGATTCTGTGACTTGATGATCTTAAAAGGCCTTATCCAACCAAAATGATCCTATGATTCTAAATTTTATCCATCAAAAACAACTCTCCATCCTTTAAGACAAAAATCCCCATGAAGACTTTCTATGAAAGTTGCAAGAGACACTATCAAATCAAGTAATTAACTAGAAGTCAGTTAGATTCTCAAAGAACAGCAGCCCATCTATGCAATGGTCCAGCAGGTGCTCACACTACCAATTACACAACAATTAGCACTGGCTTTATTCCAATAATGCGTCCATCAGTAAAAACTGAAGACTTCGCTCACCCAGTCAGTACTAATGGGAAGAAATACACCAAAGACTTCAGACTCCAGGTGTAAGATCTCATCAGCTACATACAGCAGCAGCAGGCGTGGACTGATCAGCAATGCTACTGCAATTGCATTAAACAACAAGACTCAATTAACAAACACATGCAAATGAAGCTTCCTTTATAGCTGTTTTACTACCAAACAATTTATAGCAGCCACACATTTATATCTGTGCCACACAAAACTGGGAATTTGGAAGCCATGGGACTGCTCCAACCTAGAAAATTAAGGATGGGCAGCCATATATAATAAAGAATCAATTAACAACTTCCTACATTACACTAAAGATACCTCCCCAGACTGCTTCTTTGACCCCAAGAAAAATTGACTAAAGACTACAAGAACAGACATAAAACTGTAACTATTCCTCAACATAAAAGAACCAAGACATTTAATTTTTTTAAAATATATACCTTTCTGGTTTACACACAAAAAAATACAAATAGCTGGAGAGCTGATGCTGTCTGCAATACTGCACTGCATGCAAGTTTCCTTATGTAGAAAATACACCATATGCAAAAAACCAGACAAGCTAACCTTTCATTTGAGAAGGGTGGAAAAAAATCCCACAGTTATCTATCACAAATATGTTTAAAGTTGGTAACACAGACACTTCAGGAGCTAAAGGAAAAGAAAACAAAAAGAAAATCTTCCACTGTTTTAATTTCACTACATACGTGATACTTCTAACAGGTGGATGGAGAAGTCACATAGATTAAGCATTTTCAGTAGTCTGAAAGTGATTAATTTAAAAAAAAAATTGTTTACCTGTAAAATATGTAGGCATGAAAACACAAAGCATCATCACAGTTAAGGAAAAGTAGTAAGAAATTGCTATGTGGGTCATTTATTAACTGCAGTCAACATGCCTTCTGCCTGTCCTTGCAGGGTGCATAACAAGAGCAGAGAGTCAGGAGAATGGGCATAGAAGTGGAAACGTTACGCTAAGCACAGAAAGTTCAGATGGTAAAAGCATCCTTGGAAGTATAAAGGAAAAAGGTAAGGCTCTTTGGATTCTGGAAAAGAACAACATACATAGGACTAACAATACACTGGACTCCACTGCTTCTGGGTAGCTGTGTTCATTTGCTAATCATGTTTTAGCATGATTATAATTTTTTTTTTCCTTATTGGGAGATATCTGCTTTCATACTAGAATTTATTCGCCTTCTATTCCAGAGTCCAAGAATATAATGAGATGAACTTTTTGTTCATGTGAACAATGAGAACAACAACACAGAAGGGACTAAAATATGAAGCATTATAAGAAAATATGCTCAAAAAGTGGACAAGATTAAAACTTTTGATAGCTTTCTTAGGATAGTTTGCTAATTAAACCACCCTTCCTCACCTGTTATCATCATTCGAAGTGGAGGAAGCAGACCCAGAAAGAGCAGGGTGTTGAAACCAGGTTAAAAGTTGTGATGAGAACGATGTCCATGCTCTAGGTGAGACAGCAAAAGATAAAGCCTAGAGGTAACTTCCTCCCTCTAAGAGGACTAGAAGTGTGACTGACGGATCACTTCTAAAATATGTAAATAAAGACACAGGCTACTTGAATCATATTCAAGATGTCCACCTTCCTGCACTGTCCACATCAATAAAAGCAGATGACAAAACTATAGAAATAATAGTCATGCCAGCTGCTCGAATAAAATGGAATTTTCTCCCCAGCTGTTTTTGCCCTATACTTCAAAGCCCTATTTGCATTCATACAAAATCTGTTTACAGTCAACTTCACTGTGATACTGGAGCTTCCCCCTCCTCCTCCCTCCCAAGACACAAAGCAAAGCTGGCCAGGTGTCTCTAAACCACAGAGCCAGCTGCTCCTAACCAAGCTCACAGGAAATAGCAAGGAAAATATGCAGCATTTGACACATCTGGAATAGATTGCAGAATCTTTGAAAACAGTGTCCCAGCTCCCTTCCTCCTGCTGATGAGATTTCAGGCTACCAAACTGCTGCATCAACTATACAGGATTAGATAACGTGTAGATTTTTAACCCCTGCATATTCTTTCTGTCCAAATGAGATTTTTTCCAAGATAATACGGAAGAAAACCCAACAAACTCAAGTATCTGAATGAGGCTTTCTGTAACATGAAGTGGAGCAAACAAATAATTCAATCAGAAGACTGCTTCTTAATCTGGGGAAACTGATATAGTTAGAAAATAGTGCTAGTCAGTAATGGTAAAAACAGAAAATTAATCAATACTGCAATATGAAATTAAGATTAGAAAGGAGTGGTTAGTACCTCTTTTGCCAAGTAATTTGTCTATAACTCCACGTTGACACAAATATTACAGTGTGCATTTTTCAATGTGAAGTAGAAAAAACCCCCAAGTCTAAGTCTTAATTAGCAAAACAAAGCACTGTTTTATTATCTGCTTCTTTTTCATATGGACAATGGATGCAAAAGAACACAGAAACAAACAGATAATTTTAGAAGAAAATCCCAATCAGGTATTGAACATAATACTTAATTTTATTCTTTCCATAAAAAGCTGGGAAGTGGAGGTGCCACTAAAGTGTTAGTCACTTTCAGTTTCTCTGAAAGATCAAGAAAGTGAATAATGTGACCAGTTTACATATGCATATTTTAAACATTCATTATAGATACAAAACTGAATACAGCACTAGCTTAAAACAACATAAACCTCACTGTTTTTAATGTTAGTAATAAAAAGGCAGAATTCTAATATAAAAAGAAAAAAAATGGAGGAAAGTATTTCTATTTTTTTCCTCAAAGGTGCAACCAACAACCAATGTATTTTTGCAACCGAGATTCCAGTTGTACAAAGGACTGAGAGATGTATTCCCCTACTTAAGGAGAAGCATAAATTTCACAAACTTTTAAAGGAAATCATACATGCATGAATGGTAGACAGTACCCCTTAAAGAGATGATATTTATAGGAAAGTAATAGTATACCTTAAATGGATACTAGGAGAGATGCAACACACATTTTCTACTTTCAGAGCTTTTTTTCCTTCATAGATTATTTCCCAAATTACCTTACACTTAAATTACTTTATTCTTAGGAAATGGCAAAGTATTTATTCTAAACAAGCATTGTAAGATAGCTACAAGAGCTGTTGTGTTCGGGTTTTTTTGAGAAGCCCTCAGGGTAGATGTTGTATTTATAGTGAATTCAAGACTTCTTAAACAGAGCCAGTGTTATAACCCACTGTTAGATAGATTTGCAATACTGGTTTCAGGAACAAAGATGCACCTACAAGGAACCAACTGCATAACAAAGGACTAAAGATGTATGGCTGTACATCCTGCTAACATGAACAAACTCTTATATTTTAATGGGATCATGCATATGAATAATGACCTTCAGAGGTTGAAGCCCAAACTAGTTAATAATAATTCATGTGAGGAAAGTTAGAATGAAACAAACAATTCAATGCCTTTACCTCCAAAATTACATCTAATAGTAACTATATCCTTAATAGCCAATTAACAAAAAATATGTATGTAGCTCTAAGATTAAACAAAATTTAGAGAATATGCTGTTACAAAATATATTTTGACATTTTTCCTAAGAAGCAATTCAGTCATTTATGCAGAGTTATTTACAGGGGACTCAGAGCAGAGTATCAGTTTTAAGCAAACCAGTATATTGGTTTGAATTTGATAAAATATTGGTGAATACAAGTTTGTGACAAGGAACTTTGGGGTTTAGTAAACTTAAAAACTTTCTACAGAATCATTAATCTAAATTACAGAAAAAACTGTCTGAACTGGCTACCTTGAATATTTAATGCATTCCATTGTACTCAAAGCTCAGATCAACAAGTCAGTGGTACATACACGCTGTGAAACAAATTACCACTTAAATCGTCCAGATACAACAAGCACAGATTAACCAAGTCTGACTGTACCTAATCTATAATAACAGATGGTTTGTTCTTACTTCAATAATATCTTTCTAATAAGCACATATACAAATGTGCTAAAACAAATGGCAGCAATTATAAGTATTTATTAGAATGACCAGAACTGATACTTGAGCATAAACCATCTTGTCATTCGCTTTTGAAGCCGTATCTTCACTAATTTGTCTTCTGGTTTTAGTAGTCTTCTATTCTATTAACTTGGAGGGTTACAGACCATCTGGAAGTTTCACACTGGTATAGGAAAGGAATGTCTGTTCAATGCAGTCTGGAGATAAAGAAAGAGTTGCACTTCAGCTCATTGCAGCGATTCGCTAGAAGCAGCGTTGCTTAAACCTAGAAGCAGCAAAGCAGCAGCCTTCCCCCTCCCACCCTCCGTGTCAGGATAGGAGAAAAAAATAAAGAACCTACTGTTATTTTGTTATAATTTCAAAAGAACACCTGAGAATATTTTGTAATCACAGAGGTAATATTTGTTATTTATTAAAACCAATAGTCACGATAGAAGAAGTTAGGTCTGTTCAAGAATAGGGACACTTAAGTGTGATAGCAATTAATTTGAACTTGTTTCAATACTTAAGGTGCTTAAAAAAAATGCTATTTATATGTCCAGCTGTCTAAAAACTTCACAGACTTTATCAGCCTATACAGCTAAGTCATTCTTACAGGTAAAGGAAAAATTCAAAGCCACTGATCTCAGATCAGACAACTCATTAACTCTGGCTAATGCTGAATTAAGTAACCCTAACAATTATTTTTGAAAGACTATTTTTAAACTTCATTGCACTGAAAGCTAACAGAAACTTTCAGTCTCATCTTTACAAATTTTGGTATTCTGAAGAGGCTGCCACATTACTAAGGAAAGCAATTATATTAAATTACTGTAAAAAGGAAATGCTGCCATGTAGATGCCAGCTTAGGTTGGTTACTAAAATGCAATATATAACTTAGTTATTTACCTTTAACTTGCCGCATAATTTTGACAAAATGACACATTAAAAAGCAGTATTATGTTACACTTATGTTAATAGATTTCTTCCATCAAGAACTATATAGTGCAGCATCATTAGCTGTTTTTAGATGTGTATCACTGTCTTAGATAAAGGAAATAATTTTTCCTAGGCAAATATTGCCTCAGTTTTTTTCAGGCTTCAATAATGTGTTGTTGGTTACTTCATATTGATCCTGTGGCCAGAGAAGTTCCAAAAAAAACAGTTTATTATGGCAACCAAAGCTTCTCTATTAAGTCAAAATACAGTACTTCAGCATTTTAAGCAAATTGCAGAGAAATGGAAATACTACAGTACTTATTTATAGGCTTAAATTTATCTCATCATGTAGTTTAAGTGAAAAAAGTTCAACACAAATTATGACCCATGGTTTCGGTTACATAGTCAAGTCCAACAGATCCACCTAATGGATAAAAAGTATTTTTTAAAAAAAGGGGCTATGTGCCAGGCTGATTACTCAGCAGCATGAAGGATATGAAAGGCACCTTGCTGCATACACAATAATCATATTTGTACATGACTGTCTTAATCCAGTCATGTATAGAGAGACAATACTCATCTATTGTTTGCATGCCCAGACCCCTGCCAATCAGGTTTAATATGCAGGCAGATTAGTCCTTCCTAACTTGCTGACAACAGGTTGACTACTAAATCCAGTTTTCCAACACAAAGGAGAGTATCCTGACAGGCAGCAAATACTGTTTCTTGCTTAGGAAAAGCAACAGGTTCCTCTTCATTGTTACTGAACATTAGTTCCAGAGAGGACTGGAAGTAACAAGGATGCATTGTTTACTTTCAAATTTCATGACTTCAAGAGACTCCAGATATTTCCAAGACCATATAGAATATATACAACATTCATGACAGATGTTCAAAAACCATGTGACTTCTGTTTTGTGACAGAAGTTTTATTATTTTTAATAAATAATTATTCTCTCTTTTCCTGTAAGATATAATCTTATCACTGAAAATTACTTACCTTCAGTACAAGAAAAAAAATCTTGTTCTGTGAGCAGCTGCCATGCTTTCAGACATATTTCTGACTTTAAGATAATTAACAAAGCCTCGGAAGAACAGGAGGAGTCCTGAAAGTGTGAAATACGCACAGACTTAAGCATATCAACCAAAGTACATGCTAACCCACATTATTCTTATTAAATAATTTTTAAAACCCTAGATTACACTAAATAAAGCAAGGTTTTTATGCACCATCACAAATTCAACAGGCAAGTCTTCTGCTTTTGTCTCCCGACACAGACTTATGGAAGGCTCCTCAAAAATTTTTCTTTTTTCTTTTTAAAAACCAAAGCCTCATTAGGACATACACACAAAAAAACCCCAAACACAGTGAATGCACTGCACTGTTAACCACTGAAACTTTGACCTAAGCCAAACACAGTTCTGTGATTAAGGTGAATTCTTCTTGGAGAAGAAAGCACTAAAATCTGGATCAAAAGCTGCTACCCAGACATTACCAGAGATAGTCCCTGAAAAGTCAACTGAAAAGCAGCTGAAGCAGCAAAAGGTGGGCAGGCAGTTCTTAAGGTGCCTGAAAGCATACTTTCTGCATTACACATGTTGGAAAACTAGTCCAAGTTCAACCCGTATTTTATATTTCTCTGCTTAGGGGAGAAAAAAAAACCCAACAAAACAACAAGAAAACCAACAGCCAAAAACACTTTCCATTGTGTTCCTTAAAAAGAAACATTGGCTAACATTTAAATTTAAAAATTAGAATTGTCTCTCTCTTCAATTTGTTCACTGTACATGACAGTTCCTTGGAAGTAGACCACTCTTCCGTCAAACATGAGCAGATTTTTCCGGACATTCAAAGAAAAGAAGAGAGCAGAAACTGATAGGTGAACAACAGAAGAGAGGAGAAAATTACAACAGGTGGGCTCAAGTATGTCAAGGGATGATGCAAAGAAAAGAATCCAACTCAGTTCATTCACTTCTGAAGAGACGCAGGATAAGCTACATCATGTGCTGTAATGGGAAAGTTACCCGAAACAATGAAATACAGATCTGGTTGGCAGAGCTCCCATGACTTGATAATATTCCTCCATGCCCTGCTAAGCAGCTCTGTTGGGTTAAATCCTTCTATGGTGTTCTAGCGATCTCACTATATCCACTTTATCAGTTTGAAAACACTGGTGGTGTATTTCATGCACAACATTCGTAAGACAAGGGAATGTTTACTGCTGGATGAATACTGCATGCCTCACAGTGCCTTCTATTCCAAGGCATATTATAAACTGTGAGCTAAAGTAAAAGAAAAAAGAAATGTCTTCAAACAATTTAAAACTGAAAAGAAGTCTTTCCTAAATTTGCATGAGCTAACTGCTGCAAAAGTACAAATGCACAGCTTTTTCCATAGACACAGTGGGGGAAATTTGAGGGGAAGAGCACACTATTTTCATCCAAGCAAAAACAGTGTCAGCTCTAAATCTCAGGCACCACAAGGCTTTGTTTTAATGAAAGATTTATCTGGAAATGTTTGTAGGTGTAAAGAGGAATTTCACTTCCTACTTAGATGCAATCACCTCAAACAGAATACGAAAGCATTCAAGGGACTGATGCTGGTATCTGTTAACCATCTTCAGCTTCTATATATCTCAAGCAACCAAGTGCACAACAGCAGAGCAAGCTGAGTATTAAGTCTGATTATGAACCCAATATTTGCTAAAAAAGGCAGATAGAGGAAGTTTTAGGTAACATTCAAGATTTCTGGCATCTCTTGCAAGATAAACAGCAAGTCACAAACAGTCAGGATCTCAGTGTTGGGTGGGTTTTGTTTTGTTTTTAATTTACTCAGCATTTCCTATTAATATCTGCTGTTAGCCATTTGAGTCAATTGACTTAAGGGGAAGAGTGCCACCTACTGAACCAGAAACAGTTTACCATGCTCCCAGAGCTAGAAGAGAAAACACAAGAGTAGGATTTATTTCTGTAAAATAAAGTTATTTCCAATTCCATATTGAAATTACAAAATCCACAGTAGGAAAGAAGGTATAGTGGTTGGTGTTCGGTATAATGTAATTAAAAACAGACAGAAGAGCAGAATTTGATGAGTGTAAGATTTTGAACATGGGCAGACAGACCTCTTCAGAGAAAGCTGACATCATGGGAGCACTGTGATCAGAAAGCATGAAGCCATTCTCTCGTTTGAGAAACTACTGATGCAGTATGCATTTCAAAGGACTAGAAAAAGGATGTTTTGTGACCTAGGTACAAGACAGCAGACTCCATCTTCCCAGAATCAGTCACATTTCTTAAAATGTAATACTTGACATACAGGTTTATAGATGCAAGTACTAGATATCACTCACTTGTCAGCATGTTCTCTACATAAAGACGGAGTTTCATTACACAGTTCTGCACCCCTAGATCAGCAGAAGCACTTTAAAAAGTACAAATTACAAGTCTCAGGTATGTACGTAATTCCACATGTATGACAAATTTTTTTGAGCTGAAGGTTATTGGAATAGTCAGTTCACACAATAACACCACTATGAAAACCTTGTAAATACTATGGAAACAAAAATAACACACAAAACTATAATCAGCTAAAGAAAAACATAGAACTAAACATGTTACAGAACTCTTGTTTACAATGACATGATTCATCTTTAAGTACTTCCACATCAAAACAGAAATGTTTTCAATTTCCACTTACCAAGTACAAGGAATATCCACCAGAGCCAGTACTGTCCATTGAAATATCCAGTAAAGTAATCTGAAAACTAAATTCATACACAAGGCTTAGCTGCAGTAAGGCAGATGACTAAGACACATTTAATGCACTATGCAAATATAGCAAGCATAGAGGAGAAAGCAAATAAAAGTAATATAGTCAACTAAAATGCGAAACTAGTATTTGCACAGCAGTTTAATGTACAAGTAACACTTTCAGTATCAGTTGGTCTGTGAAAAAGTTATTTTAAAACCTCTAAAAACTACATCTGTTTTAAAAAAAGCCCTCAAACTTGTATTACTCACCAGAATCATCTGACATGTTCTATTATAATGAATCACCACTTGTAAATTTTCCTCTTTTCCCCCCAGTGCCTGCCATCCCAAAAACATTACAGCAGCCTGCTGCTTTAGATATTAACACCAAAAGCCACATTAGTTTAATCTTATCAGACAGGGATGTTCTGCTGACCCCTCAAAAGAAGAGCTTTTGACCTTCTGTATACCCCCTACTGTTAATCGCTGCCAAGAATACCAGCCCCATAAAGACCCCCAACTCATTAAAGTCTTTTCATTTTCAAACCCGCATTCAGTTCCCAGCAGTGAGCTGAACACAACTAAATGAACCTTGAAGTGGCATTTCAACTGTTCCTGTTAGTGACCATGGTAGACAGTTTTGTCCTCCCTGTGATGTGGGAGGCAGCTGGAGGGCAGGGTGTGATAGTACTGGAGACAGGTATCTGTGCCTTTAGCAGACTCCAGACTGCATGCTTCACTGATAAAAAGGCTAATCAAATGTCTCCAAAACTCACAGGAGTAGGAACGGGGAGATGCACGAAAAGTTGCCAGAAGGAAGAAAATAACTTATTTAGTAATGCTGCACAATTTTCATATGCTTCTCATCCTACTGTCATTCAGTATATTTACTGCATCCTGCCACAGCACTTTCCATTTGCTATTTCAGTAGTATCGATCAAGAAATCATGCCATTCAGGCATGTAAATCAGTTTACTCTTAGGAAAAAAAAAGAAAAAAAAAAAGGAAGATACTGACCCACACATAAAAATCCAAGAAACTTAAAGAACTCTAGATATACTTCAGAATAAAGCCAGATCATATGAATTCTTAAAAGGTTTGATCTTGTAATACATACATTTCTCTGGGCAATCCAAGAAAAAAGTACCAAGAAACAGAATTGCTAAGTTGAACTAAATAATTGGTACTTAAATTATCCCTATATAAATACCAGCATTTCTATGGTCTAGCAGAGTAAGCATTTCATATTTTGACACTTCATTAAAATATCACATAAATACTCAGTTCCCAGGAAGTTGACAACAGTATTAATCCCATCTCACTTGACAGTATTTTCAGTTGTCTAACATATACACCAGTACGCTTTTTTTAAAGCTACAACTCCATTTAACTGGAAAGAAGATTTACTAAAACCAGCAGTCAAACACTGGTCTGTCTGCAATACTCTCACACTTTAGGCAGAAGTAGGGATGATGGTGGGACTGATCCCAAGGGTCTTTTCCAACCTGAATAATTCTGTGATTCTAAGATTCTAAGTAGCCACGGCTCCAGAATTCCCCTAACAGCAAAATTGTGCTTAAGGTCTTCTCCGCCATCACCCAAAAAAACCCCCCAAATTAACCCAAAACCAAAAACTGATACAGCAAGACCGCATGTGAACTCACAGTTTTGTACTACTGACCCTGAGAAAGGGCAGCATAAATCTTCAGAGGAGCTCAAAACAAACAGAACAATTTTGTGCACACACATGCTTGTGTGCCACCACTAAAGCAATATTGTCAATATACACCTCATGAGCTTTCTGCTATTGCCTCTAGAAAGGGAGGCATCACAGGAAGATAAAACCTTTACTATGAAGAATACCATCCCTGAGGAATATAGATCTATATTCAATACCATCCCTGAGGAACTGGTCTGCTCTAATATTTTAGAATTAGTAAAAGATGTATGTACAGGAATTTAATAATAGTCTAGAACACAATAATTCAAGGAAGCTTAGCATGTATTATTTTTTGTTTGTTACAAGCACATTTTCGAGCAGACAAAAATAACAGAACTGAGACAATGAGCAAGTTCTGCTCTGTGTTTAGTATGCCTCAAGGGAAGCCAAATATATCCCCAGTGAACACATAGTTGAAAAATTAATGTCTTCTCACTCCCTTGAGATAAGTTCTATCCCAAATCCTGAATTCCAACTAAATATGCCAGAATCACATCTGGTCCAGCAGCACTTCCCTGAACTGGTGAAGCAAAAAACCCCCAACAAACCGAAACCACTCTCAGCTCCAAGAAGGATACAGGACATGTCCAGGAAGGACCATGCAATCTCCCTTCTACAGCCCTTGTACCATCATGCTAAGGCAAAATCAAGTTAAGATGCTAGTACACACACAGAAAAAGAAAAAATAAATATTCAGAGTTGGTAGGACATAAAAGGTAGCTAAGTTATCCAAAATCTCTTTGCTAGACAGGATTATACTTTAAATGTTGTGACTCACAGACACGTAGAATGCCAGTTCATAAAGAATCACTATGTTTCACCTATCATCCACTTGGTCAGGTAAGTAACTTCCATTTGGTTTATATAGCTGTCTGAAAAGTATCTGGTCTTACAGTAAAAATATCAATAAATCGAACATCTAAGATGGTAAAACTGTGACTCATTTTATACTCAATTTTTACTTGATTCAGTATTTATCTTAAAAGGAATAAAAAAATCAGATATAAGGAAGTTATTTCTGATCCCCTCTCACCCCTCACTGATAGGCTGAGCCATTTATAAATCTTTCATATAGGACACTAATAATACCACTGATATTTTAGGTACTTGGTCTACTTCTTCTGTACACTTTTAAATATTTGTGCAAAGAATGAGTCATTCTGCATTTATTTGAGTGGAAAAATGAACGTAAAATGCTGTCAGATAAAAATAGATTAAGCTTCATAAACAGTTAGTAGATATGAATACATAGCAAATAAATTCTCTACTAAAGTGGAAATTAGAGAAAATTCTAGGCACTCCGTTAAGCACCGGAGTTTAACATACTGATTTTGAGTTCATTATATATCTTTGAATAAATTGTTATGGTCTGGTTTTACAAGAGTCTGTACAGCGTGAATCAAGAAACATACCCGTACAATGAGAATCCATTTGATCAGGGAGAGACCAAATCCACAGATTGCACCATACCTTCCAGCTATGGTATTTGTTATACAGAAGGATAAACAAAATCCAATCCAGTTGAAAATAAATGCCACTAAAAAAGAAAAGAAACAGTAGCTTCTGTTAATCTGTATAGCTAAGCAAACAGACTTAACAGTAATTTCACTTTTAAACTAATAAGGACATGCTTACACAGCCAGTAATTCCCTTCTAGTAATTCAGGCTTTCAGAGATTGACTTTGAACCCAGACATTCCCCATGGTATAGTCACTTAATAACAAAGCAAATGGTAAACAGGCTGGAACCTACTACTTCAAACAAGAGAAAATTTCAACATAAAAGAAAGTATTACACTGCTACAGAAATCTAACCAGATGACACTAGACATGAAGGGTAAATGCAAACAAGGGACTATAACATACAAGACTTGGATTACAACAAAGAAAAAAATCCCTTGCTACACTTTTATAACCAAAAATATAGTTATATGCACACATACGTGCATGTATCAAGGCTGCATATTCAGTTTTATCCAGTTTGGATCGAACGGAATAAAAGTATCCACTCTTGCTCTGTAAACATAGTATAGAAATGAAGTTGAGAAGCTGATGTTTCATTTGTAAAAGTATTCCCTTTAGATCTATATTGATGCATAAGATATAAGAAGCTTTGGAATTTTCACACAGAAGCTTAAGAAACAAAAAGGATATTGAGCATAACTACCACTGTTACTTCAATTAACACTTCTACACAACTCCCAGTAGCTTCACAATTTAACATTTCATATTTGCATATGTAGTTGACAATGAACACAGAATCATCAGTATTGACTTCAGTTTGCATGCATTAGGTAAAAGTGTAGGAATTCTCAGTTAGATGACCTCCCAGCTTCGGCAGTAAGTGAGGGCAACTAAAAAGAAAACCACCAAACAGAAGACCTGGGGGAGTTGGTCTAAGAAGACTATTCAGGAGTTATGGAAAGGACAAGATAGTGGAAAATTGAAAACACTAGGGAAATCCACAATAAACACAAAAATCACTGCAATGAGAGGCAATGAGAATGGAAGGCGGGGCAGAGGGGAATAAAACCCCTGCAAACAAAACCTTCATGTATTAAATCCCCAAACTTGTGGAAAAAATAAAACTGACACAAAATTCAGACATTAAATCACCATAGGAAAAAAAAAAAAAAAAAAAAAAAGTCTGTCTTTTCAGTAAAAGTTTGAACACTTACAGAAAAATATTAGGAACAGAAAACTGGTCAATGATACTCTTAAAGAAAAGTAAAATTGGGAGGATTATCTAGAAACAACCTTTTTGTATGATTAAAAACCCTATTACAACCCTCCAACAAAGAGGTAATGATTTGCTCACAAATGCCAAATGAGCCTGTGAAAACTGCAGTTGGATTCCAGGAACTGTAAGGAAATTGAAGTTCCAAGAGAAGTTTTGGAAGATTTTACATCATCATAAGTCATTCTGTTCGAGTAAGAAAACATCTTGCCTTTGATAGAGCCATAGGTAACAAGAGTGGCAAGGAGAAAGCTTACTTTTATTGTTTAAGTAATTACTAATCTTAAAAAAATCCCCAACCACAAAACAACCAAAACACACACTATTTTGAACGAATGCTAATCTTAATCTGTATATGCAGAGAAAAGAGAGCACTTCTATTACTAAGAACTACAAAACAACTTTGTGACCCTCTCATTTAACTATCTTTCCAAAACACAAGAAAAACATTTACATTTGAGAAAGCTTGGATACATCGTTTTGAAAACAGGATTACCCTATTTTAAGCAAGCTTTCCAAATCCACCATAGTTTTCAAACTAAAGGACTTCAGAAGCTAGTTCAACGGGTCTCCGTGTCTGCCTCAGCATAACAGTTTACTGCTCTCTCCCTTTCTCCCCACTACTCAAGCTACAAAGAGCAAATTTTATCATGGCTCCAAAGACAGGCATGCTAAAAAGAACCAAAGACAGACATGTTTCTAAGGGACTGTGCTGCCTAGAGGAATGCTCAGAAAGCTTGCAATTTAATAGCTTTTTAATCATTATTTTTTTTAAAAAGGAATTTTTAGAACACCTGAGTTAATTTGCATATTCACTAGATATTTTCCCATCATAATTATTAGAGAGGAAAAACTAATTCTTATCATCAAAGTTTAACAGTTACAATTTTGCCCTCAATTCAATTTTACCTAAAGGAATATTCAAACTAGAATCTACAGTCAATAGATGAGTACTAGGTGGATATTAAACCTTAAGTTGCTCACCCAACTCCCAGAAAAAAAGGGATCACCATGTTCCAGTGTTGTTCACAGTTTTCCTCTAACCAGTATGCTGTTCCATCAAGTTATATAAGCAGACAACGAATGCAGAAAAGGCATCAATTATACAAAAGCTGCAAACACACATCCTAGTAAAACTGTACTATTTACAAAATAAAAATTTCACTACTTAACTTTATATCTGCAATCACGGACTAGAAAAATTCTGCAGTGAAGACCTATTCAAAATTCCCTGTCTTCAGCAATGTGAGGAACATATTACTTCCACCTCTATAAAACCTAGGCAACATATTCTGAGCAAACTGCAACAAATATGATTTTTATCTACCTTCCAATCTGGCTTTCTCCAGAGAAAGATTAACCTCATTTACCTATCTTTTTCCACAATTATTTCTATGTGTATTCTCTGCCAGTCACTCAAGTTGCCTGAGCTTTGTGGTCTACACTGCATCAGTTCAAGAGTTATTAATGTTATTTTCTGTATAATTCCTGACCTCATTCTTGCAATAATCCCTATATTGCCATACAGAAGCCACAGCACAAGTTTCTTCATAAAGCTGAGAAAGAAAACACAACAGTGAGGGGAAAGACTGGTAAAAGGAAGCATCTACCATTTTCTTGAGGTATGTCTACTTCCCTATCTCCTAGAGACAACTAAATCATTGTGTGAGCTTCTTGCTGCAACAAATACAATCCTCCACTATTTGTCTGCATCCACTCACTTTCTGAAATGTAAACATTGCTTAGCAGATACAGATCACCTCATCCTTCCTACTGCTTCAGCTTCCTATGGCATTCTCTCTTAGACAACATTCCTGGTCTGACACTAATACATTCCAGAATAAAGAAAAACCCATTCCTAAAAATGAGATAACAAGTCTAAGAAGCTGCTACAGCCAAACAATGGTTTTAACTAGAAATACATTTCTACCTTCTGTTGGCGCATATTCTTCATGCAGCCATGTTCTGGGTCCATCTCCCTAGACTTTCACTGAAGACTAAGAACTCTGCAGCAAGAATTGTTTCCTATCCCAGAGATTGATACCATTTGGATTTATACTTGAGCCCAACTTTCAACTCCTGTCCTCTTTCTTTTAATAGATTTCAGACATTCAAATAAAACTCAAACTAACTGTGCTGGCATCATGAGTTCGGTCTCTTTCTTTGCTACTGTATCACCATACAAACAAGCCGGACCGACAAAAGTAAGATTTTTGAGTGACAAGAGGAGAAAGTCTATGTTAATGTAGTTCACATAAAAATAATACAACTCTTGGAGTTGTTGCCTCATGACAACAAAACCCATAATGAAAACACAGGTAAGAAGTTGCCTTCTGGGAAGAAGAGGCTTGGACTAATGGTCTTTTTTAATAAAAAGTCTGCATGATATCCAATGCAGCACCCACAACAATTATGCTGCACTTAAATTTTGCTTTCTGGTTTGGAGTAAGACAACCCCAGCTCAAATAAAAAGCACAGAATGTCCTAAATGTTTTAAAAGTCTTAAGAATCTGACACACAAAGTCTATTCATCAGCTATTTCCACTCCCAAAACTCTCTTCTGAAGGGTAGTGGTCAGCACAGGATATTTCATACCAAAAACTGAAGTTAGAAACCAAAAGTCTTTTATCTATCAGCAATTCCAAAGAAGCTGGAGTAAAATAATTCAAAAAATTGGCTTTGACAAACAAGTTGGTTTTCATTGCGATTCTTCATTTTCTGATAACTACCTACAGGGGCATGGAGATGATGATGTATGAAGCTGTACTTTGTCATTATGAATTTATTAATCTGTGCTTGCTTTTTGTCAGTGCTCATTACATTGCAAAGCAATACTGACACCTTTTCATTCTTTTCTCAGAATCTATATTCCTGCCTAAAATTTATTAAATTCGTGAATGCATTTTTGCTCACCTGAAGTCTGATGATGATCACTAGAAGCATTTGCTATCAACTTCAACTGACTTTTTTTTTTTCTCCATGGAGATATCAATGTTCAAAAACTTCCCTAGGCAATTTATTTCTGCTGCTTCATTACCCTTGTTGGTAAATGTTTCTTAATGCCCAACTAGAAGCTTCCTCGTTCCAATTATCTTGCATTGTATCTAATGTATCTAAGAAACCATGTAAGTCAAATCCTTCCCACATCAAGAAACAAGTCAGGTGGTCAGCAAGGCTCCCTTGATAACCAGGTAGAAATAAACACTCCCAAAACAGTTCCTTTGTCTCCTTCCAACATTTTTAATTTCAGTCAAACTACTTCCCTCAGGTTCTCTTGAATGACTAAGGCAAACCTCCATAACATTCATGACCTGGACATACAGATTTCTGGTCTCCTAAATTCACACAGAGAAATCCCCCCACTGGAAATTTAGACCACGCTTACCACTCCTTGGGAAGTATGTAACAGGAACACCATGCTCTTCTTGAGACTGTTCTACAACTCTGCCTTCCAATTTGTGCCTGCTTGAAACTGCATAAGTAAATATCCTAGCTTGTACACAGTTTATTAATGACTCAATGCATCTAATAGCTCTGAAAATTATTTGAACATTAGTTACAAAATGGTGGTAAGGTTACTGTCTGTTCCAATACAGCATCTAGGTCAATTATAAACACTTACATTTCTCCACATCATGAGATTTTATTGGGGTGAGTTGTATTCAGTGTTCAAACTGCTCAGATGTTGCTCAAAAAGAACAAACCAGATCTCTATACAAGAACTTAAAACTTCGGCAGTATGTTCCATTTTTCCTCCTTATTAACCCATCTGTGAGCTTCAAATTAATATTTATTTTTCCTAGGTTGTAGGGACAACCTAAAACTCCCTTCCAGGCTTTTAAAGAATCCAGATGAGCTCCTCAATTCCTTCTGGGACCCTTAGGTGAAAAGGCTGGTTGGTATTTCTAAAGCACTCATTAAATATAAGGAAAACCGTATAAGCCTTTTATTACTGCTCAAAACTGCCTCCTCCACCTAATGAACCAGGATAACTAATAGGATATGAATAAAAAACACTTCTACTACAGGCGGATTAAACATGAAAACCAAACATGACAGTTACTTGCTCTATCACCACTACACCTGTGTTCAAACCAGAAAGAAACAGCTCAGACATGCCTCTCTTTTTTTTGTGCATACAAAAATAAAATTTAAAAAAATCGCTCTGAGAAACTAGCCTATTAGGAACCTTCACTGGCATTCTGAGAAGTTTATCCTATGCTGTATAAGGCACAGCTGACTTAGAAATATGTAACAGGAAAAACATGGTTGGATAGCAGAATTTGCTGCATTTCGCCTTAGCAAAATCAATATATTCCCTAATAGTCATTTACCTCAGCAAATAGCAGCCCTGACCATTACGGAACAGACTCTCTGCTCACCAGCATCATCACAGATCTCTAAAGCAACACTTTCTTACACAATTTCTTATAACATAAAATTTTACCACATATTAGAAATAAAATGGGTCGTTTTCCAAGTTTTTCCACAAAGTTTCTGCATCAACTGCTAAAGCAAAAAATCCACCTGCTCACACAAAGGACTTTCATTCTTCAGAGTACATTGTCTCATTCTATGTAGTTATGCTAAACAAAATAGTGTTTTACAACTTAGATGGGAAACAGTTTTGTAACTTGCATGCACTAAGCTTCAAAAAACTAACAAAAACCCCCAATCCCCAGACCTGGCCAGCAGATGGCCTCAAGACTGCAATTTTATGCAACTTGAGCAACGACCACTAGATGGTAGCTACATATCACTGGTTGATTACAATATGCAGGTAAATTAATTTAAAAGTTTGTTTTAATATACTTCAGTTCATTAAAATGAGATTTAGAAAGCTAACTTCACTGTTTTA